TCAGCTTCTGAATCGGATGATGGGTCAGAGCATGGGTCAACAGAGCAAGCAGTTTGGAAGATTTGTTGCACAGACACTTCAGGCCTGAGGCCTCAGGCTGTTGGTTTTACTTGATTCGTGATGGATGCTAGGCCCTTGTCTGAGTCAGTGAGACATTCCAGCGAGTGTCCGAACAGTGCGTTTGTTTCCGGCCTGCAGGAGTCGGGTTGCTGGAACTCCCCAGGAGCTGGCCAGGGATCCGTACCTGTACAAGTTGTGGGCTTAGATCACTTAGTGAGCCCATCGGTCAGCATTGGGCCATGCCACTGTTGCAGCGCCACGGGGGCCCCTTTTTTGGAAGGCAAGTTCTGGGTTGGCACACCAAGAGCTACCATAGAGTCTTGCGACTATGTTAGGCTCTGCTCGGTGTGGATTAAGCGAATCGAGCTTCAGCTTTTAGAGAAGGGTCCTGCAAGAGAGCCTTGGTTCCATCATGTTCGTGTGGTTGCTGAACAGTCTCTGGCACTTGCCGAGGCCGGTGATCCTGACTCTGCGGACCTGGATTTACCATGACTTTTTTAGGCAGGGATTTAGCGAGTGCGAATCGCAAAATATCGCAAAAGGTATTCTCAGACATTTGGTTGCTTCCCAACAACTTGGTTCTGAATAAGCAACCTTGCGCAATCTAGGCGTCAGGATGCTTGCTTCGGATTCGTTGAACAGGTTCATTGACAGCTTGAATTGATAAATGGTTGCTTGGCTGGATGTAGACTGGGCTGAACATCTTCGGCCACTGTTCGGAGTCTCGTCCAGTGTACCTTGGTGTGTTTGTGTGCGTGCGTATGTAATGTGTAGCGAAGGTATTCGGCAGGTGTGAAGCTAAAGTCCGGACAGCATGCACGACCTGGGCTTCTTCGCTTATCACCGTTGATGTGGCGCCTTGTTGCTATGGATCAGGTTGAGTGTCTCATGACAAGTTTGTTCTCTCGATCCAATGAACTCTTGACCGGAGTCTCAAGCTTGGATGGAGCCGGGGCAGCTTCACGTCTGATTGTTCGATGCTCCTATTTGACTATTTGACCATGCAGCTGAGCATGGCCACCCAACTTGAAGGCACGGCTGGCTTGTTGGCATGGGAGGCAGAAGAAGTTGGTGGCCTCCGCAGATGAGCACGGGTCCTATCCAGAGATCCAAGCCACAGAGCGAATGCACAGGCGAATGGTCCTCATTGAGTCCTCAGCTTTTTGTTCCTCACCGAAGCTTCAGAACTGAAAAACTGGAGGTCAAATGTGCTCTGTTGGGGAGGTCAACTAAGCACATGGCACTGTCATCTTTCGATATAGGCCATTGGCAATCAGTTTCAACTCACATGTGCATTTCCGCAGCAGCCGTCAGTTGAGCACTTGTGCTAACTAGGGTAGTGTACCCAACGAAGGACGTGACAGGTATGAAATTGTGCACATGGAACGAGCCAAACAATGGCAGCCCAACACAAGGGCTGATAGAGCAACCTCTGAATCGCGCAATATTTCCGCACTTGAGGCACAGATTGGGCCAGATTCGGCCGCGAAAGTCGTTCGAGCGCAGTTTGATGTGTTGCTCTGTAAAGGATCAGCCGTTTGCAGCGCATCACATAATCTTGCTGGCTCATGCCATCGAGATCATGGTGTGTTGGTTTTGCTTCCTTCGAGCAGGGCAGTCTAATTATGTTCTCATTCTAACAGAGCAGCCTGTCCAAGTTCATTGCTTTCTTCTGTGAAAAGAGCCTTCTTCTTCCTGGCACTGTTTGAGTTTTTGCTTTTGCTTCCATGTTCCGCATGCTGTCACGTCTTTCCCGTGTGGCCTGAAAGAGACTTTGGAATCAGTCCCACATCGCACCCGAGCTTCCCTATCTTTCCTAAAGCTTTTGTTCCGCCCCCTGGCCAACCGGGAACAAATCGGGAGCATCTCTTTACCTTCCATCTCGGATGTCTTTGGTGGCAGCCGTTTTCTCACGAAGGAATGGCATGGTGAAGTGGGTGCTCAATATTCCTTGCGTGGTCGGGTGTCTCAGCACGCCTTGCCTGAGGGACAGGAGTGGACACATTCAACGCGCAGTCCTGTAACCATTGCCCTCGTTAATTGGCCTGTTCCATGAGTTCGCATTGGTTTTGCATGGTGCTTGGGGCCGAAGGCAATGATGGAACTTGTTGCCTTAGAAACTGGGGATTGTGAAGGCAGACATTTGCATAATTTACGTGCTGAATGAAGAAATGCGTACATGCGGTTTGCCTGGCATTCAGCACATTGCTTGAGCCGCATGCCTGTCAGGATGCGCCCATCAACTCGGGCCAAAGATCATCCGTTCTGTGCAGCTTCCTCAGGAGAGTGGAACTTTCTTGTACCTTCTCCATCCCGTCACACACTTGGAATACCTTACCTTCGCTCTGTATTGTTGCACAATTCTTGGCTTCCCATAGCCCACCAAGAGGTTGGGGTGCCAGACCAGGGGTGTGCCAGGGAAAGCGGCAAAAAGCCAGAATGGTAACCCGATAAGCATGTGACTGCAGAAATCTCAAACACGTTCTCTGCTGAAATCAGGGCTGAAGCCCCTCAAATCAGATGTGTGCACTAAATGGCTGAATGCAGTAAGCTACCCTTCCAGAATTCAACGCAGCTTTGGAACACTGCTGTTTTTTTTGCAGACAAACAGGTCTTTGTTCACCTTCATGGTTGGGGGTCGATGGCGTGGATGATTGTTGAATTCTTACTCTCATGAGTGGGGCCGTGTTGGGCTCAACACGGCCACCTTGCAGCTTGGCGACGTATCAGGCCCGTGTACATTCCTCAAGCCAATTTGTTGTGTGGGTTGTTTGCTTGGACACTGTAGAATGCCTGAGAAACCTCCCCAGGAACACGGAGGCCAAGCATATGTCATGCAGGCTTTAAATCCATGCGGCTGCAACGTGCCCCCGCGCTTGTTGTTTGGCGTGGATCTTGCTTTGAGGGAGATGCCACTCGCTACTGTTCCAGTCTGTGAGACTACCCGTCGCCCAGTCTACATGCCCATGGTGCTTTTCACGGCTTTCACAAAAGATGCGTCGGGCACCCTGGTGCCTATGAGACACAGACCCAGGGTCTTGGACCAAAGCTTACTCGGGGCATCGCTTCCATGTAGTGTGTGAAAATATACATTGTACATTGGATTACGCTCTGCCGAAGATTGTTGTTTGATTCACGCAACCATCTTAGGTGATTCAATCAACCATCTTAGGCGGGCCAAGTTTCATTTTCACACACTACGCGGAAGTGATGCCCCAATTGAAGGCAGGGCAATCCAGGGTAATGTTGACATCAAATTAATTAACCCTCCCCTGCCTGGAGAAGGTTCAGAAGGTTTTTGGCTCCAAAAATCAGACTCTGAAACTGAAACAATCAGGGAGTTTGGTATTCTACTACTTTAGTATTGGGCAACTCCAGAAGGATTTGAAGCGGAGCTTCGGTCCCTGTTTCCACTGGATTTTACATTGCTGGAGCTTCCTTCTAAGACGTTGATTTGAGCATCCATTTCATTTAGTGAACTTGATTCGAGCTTCCACTATTGTTGGATTTGAGTTCCCATTCAATTTAGTGTTGCTGGAGCTGACCCCAGTTAATACCATAAGGACACATTGTTTACATGGGCTGGGCATGTGACCTTCTCAAACAATGATTTGTGAAAGCGATTGAGAAAATAAATTACACTTTCAGGATTTCAGGGAGTTCTGGCTGATGTTTGTGTTTGCTTGGTCCGTATTCTTTGTGGTTCTTCTGTGGGGCCGAGTCTAATACCACTCTTTTTGTGTGGGAAAGCACTTACTTTTTTAATTCCAGTTCTTCAATTCGTTGAGTATTGGGAGGATCCCAGAAAACCTGTTCAATAAAAGTGCATGGTTAATCCTATGTTGACATTATAGAATAATTCAATTACGGCACAAGTCGTTTAACCCCTCCCCCCTCTTGGATCGCTCGTGCCCCCCCCCCATCGATTTCTCAAGGTGTCATCCAACTTGTTCCTTGCTGCAGTGATGTTTTTAGGATGGAAACATGGGCAAGCCTGTTTTGGAATTGGACAGGGCGTGACCTTGTTACTTTCTTGTTGGGCCTATTCATTTCAGCAATCCATTTTTTCGATCCTTCCCTTGAGCGACTCGCGGATTTGGTCCTTTTCCTTTGAAAGATCGGCCAGCCAGGCTTTTGGGGCACGTTCAAGCATGGGCCTGCCAAGATGGTGATACAGCCTTGAACAGTGGTTTTAAAATTGGGAGAAGGCACCCCCGCAATTCAGACCGGGGGACTGGGCATAAAACTAGCTTTAAGCAAGTTGACCAGTCATAGCCTGAAGACGGCCAAGGAAGCTTGACAAGCTTGACATGCTTGACCCTGCCACCGCAAACTGAAATACAGGCATGCCCAGATTGATGTTGCATACCTTCTTGTTTGTGAGACGCTTGGCTGCGCTCAGCTTTCGTGAGAGGTAGACACACGTGAGAGGTAGACATGTAGACATGGGTGGCTCACGTTCCATCGATGTTTGTAGTTGGCATGGGACTGGCGGGGAATCCGAACTATCGAACCTGTCCCCAGGGCCACTGTCGCCACCTCCCTGATGGCACTCATCGCCCTGGGGGTGCGCCAGGGGGGAGCCAACATGGCTGTGCACCAGCGCAAGTGTGGGAATGTCGGGTCGGGTCCCAGAGGACCGTTGAGATCCAATTCCCATGGTGTCAGAGACTTCTGAGTCATGGGTTCTGCCTGTGCCTTTGTGCTACTGAGGCAAGTGGGGTGAATGGCGGGGCGTTGGTTGTTGGTGAGCAGCAGCACATTGCGCCCAACTAAAGCAGCACAAAGCAGCAACTTGAAGCTCAACCTGTGGCAGATGGTCAAAATTGGCTTTTATGCCCTGAACACTGTGCAGTTGACTTGACCGATGTTCCACTGGTTAATGCCGTCAATCTTAGGATCGGTTTGGTTCAACAAGTTTGAGCTCTCGTTGGATGCACCAGGCGCCAAATCGCCGAATTAGCATGGCCGAGCCACATTGGCGGCAAACGTAAAGGATTAAAGATTAGGATTATTGCACACGAATGAAAGTAAAAGCCACTGAATGTTAGCAGCACACAGGACGTATGAGAAGCCTGCCGTGCCCAACATTGGAGGTTCTAGCTGCCATGTGCAACTCTGCGCAACTTTACAGCCGGGCGCCTGGACATCTCAAGGGAGCAGAAGGAAGAGGTTTCCTGATAGCAAACCCGGCCAGCATGCGCAGCTTGTCTACTAAGGCCTTAGGCTTGTGGAATTCCGACATTTCCCTCTTTCAACACAGGGTCGATTGTTTCGAGCGACCAAAGAGGGAATGTCGACCAAGCACCGACGCGTGCCGTGAAATGGACCAACCTGCTTGCCATCACAAATGAATGGGCCCACAGTTTTCAGACAACATGCCTCAGCTGGAACCTCGTTTGATTCTCATTTTTTTGCTGGGCCCAAACATTTGACAACTGAATGAATGATGGTAGCACTTTCAGTCGACCGCTTGGACCCTTGATGCTACCCGATTTGATAAGTTAGGGCCAGATAGGACCCCTTTCACGTAGCGATGATACTCATGGCATACGGGCATTTGTGACAGTTCTTTTGGTTTGACGTCAGCTGTTCAGGTGGCCAGGCTTCCGAAACGCTGGCAGTTTCATCCGTTTGGCCCCGATTTGAGGCCGGGTGCGACTGTACAGCATCCCCATGCGTCTTTGTCACTTGGGAGTTTGAGCCTGAGCTGTGAGGGCATTGCATGTGAACATTCGGGCGCGCAACCTTGCTTTGCCGAGTTTAGATTGGAGCGCTTGGCATAATTTTTGGGACGCCTGTTCTGAGCACAGATCGGCCTAGAATGCAATTAAGCTTCAACTGCTTTGTGTTATGAATAAGCAAACACTGCAAAGTAACCAGCAATTTTCGCTGCATATCATTCGTGCGACCGTCCTGTGGCTGTCTTTGAGGTTTGTTTACCTGCAATGTTGCCCTGGCTATTTTGTGTGCAGGCATTGAATGGCTCTTCAACTCTTCTTCATCAAAAGCAGCGCATTAGCTGCGGATCCTTCCTCGGGGCGAGTCTATGGTCCCATCGAGTCCATCTTTCACCATTTTGTTTTGCCGAGGTTGTGATCCTCACGGTTGCTCAGAGTACTTTGGACACCATGGCGGTCATTGGCCCCCTGGCAATCTATGTGATGAGTTCATTGAGACACAGCGCTGCGAAACGGAGAGAGCCAGGCATCTCCATACTGGTTGACCGTGAGACATATTGAGGTTACCTCCTGACCTTTTTGTTCATCATTCTCGATGTCGCCCATATCTCGGCCTGAGAGTACGGGCAGCTGGACACGCTGATAGCCTGGGCAAGGGCATGTTCTGTCCGGTAGCATCACTTTCTTTCTTCGTCTTAAAGTACAGGTGTCACAATAATTAAGGGGTTCACGCTGAGCCCATGGCAATTCTAGTATCAGCAGTATCTTCACTCACTGTAGAGAGGATTTAGCTACGGAGTCCAGCAGGATTCTTGCCCCGAACAAAGCAGCATTGAGTTTTGTATTGCTCGTCACTCGTCATAGCTGGAACTGGGAGACCTGGCAATACTTTGGTTGGAGAGGTCACAGCGACCGGATGTCGCTGATCTACTTACTGAAGATTCCTAAGGCGAACGGCGATCTAGCAATGCTCACCAGCTACAGGCAGGGCATTTGAGAGTTGCTTCAAGTTTTGGTGAGCATCCGCGGGAGCCGCTGGTTGTTTGAAGGTACAGGCAGGACCATTTTTGCATTGTGTTGTTCATTGAACATGGACTGGAACCGCTCAGGGGCTACTTTAGAGCTAGGATCGGGTTTCTTGGTCACTTCTTATCGCGCGGCTTCGAAGTCAGAATCCTGGAAATCAGAGTCTGCTACAAGCTTCAAAACCGATTGATATGCGTGAGCCATTGCAGCCACCTGCAGGAAGGTCCTCAAGCGAGAGGCCAAACATTGCAGGACAAACGCGCGTGGTTCTTGTTCAAGCTTGAATATTTCTCCGTTCCTTCCACCCTTTGTGCCGCTTGTTGTCGTGAAGCACGAAGGCTTTGCTAGCTTAGCGTCAAGAGCGTCCTGCCCGCCACTGTCACCATCACGATCAAACAGGACTTGCCCCACGGGCCCTAGGGGCAAGTGAACGGCATCATGGGCTTGCAAATGTTCACCCCGCCTGGCTGCACGTATGCAGAGGCAAAGGAGGCGATGACAAAGGCTTGGGCCGAGTCACGTGGTTCGTCATCCGCGAACGAGTGGTCGGCGCAAGAGATCAAGTTCCAAGAAGGGCCCGTGGACATGCAGGCGCAAGCGCAGGAGGGTGACCACGCCGTGTCGATGCGCTTGGTCCACAGGACCAAATCTCAGCCGCGCTGTTGCACGGTGTCGTGAAAGTACCGTGCACGCGGCGTTTTGGGAGCTGGTGGAACTGTGGTCGATGCCCGAAGTTGGTTACCTCAGTCTTCCATGGCGATTTGAGCGAGCTCTCTTTTTCCGCACCATTGTGCCCATTTCTTTGGGGCCCTCGGGCCGCCCTCGCCTTGCTCAACCTTTGAAACTAAAGGGTATGCTCGAGCAGCGGGAAAAGAAAGCAAAGAAACACGCGCGGTTCTTGTGGAAGGCCTTGCAATGGGCTCCCTCCACACCACGATATTGAATACTGGATGTCTAAAGTCGCGTGGTGACCGGACCACTTCACATAGTGGCTGACCCCCTCCCCTCCCATGCCATGTCAGCATGTTTGGGGCACGTAAATATATGATCATCCAACTTGGCACAACCAGCACGGAAGGAGCCCAATTATCACAAGCTGGCAGCCTTATTTTGAGTTGAATAACTGAGATGAGTGCAAATTTGTTTGCATTTGACAAGGGTGCTTGGTCCCAAAGCGCTGGCCAAGTGTTCGCAAGTGTGCCTCTGTCCAGGGACAGTGTCATCGGGCACGTTTAGTCAGCACCCACCCAAAGTCTGGTCTAACAGATCCCGAGCATGTCGAGGCTTTGGTTTCCCCCAGTTGGCGAGAATTGTACTTCCGGAACTGACCTCATTTTGGGTCATCAGAGAGTTAGAGCTGGACGCTTGGACGCTTTGGCCAGGTTTTGGTGCCACTATGCCATCATCCGAGAATTGCCCGGGGTCCCATGTGTGCCTTGCGGCATAGGTCAAGATGCGCGCCGATCAAAGAGATGCTTATGCATGCGCCCCTTCATGCGCTGGAGGCCCCAAACTGAGCCTCGAACGAAGTGAGAGCAGACGCTTCGAAGTTCTGAGAATCGACGCATTCGACCTTCGGCCAAGCCTTGAAGCCTCCCAGCGTGGATCCCAACTTCTGCACCGATTTACTGAGCGCCAGTTGGAGCTCATCGCTTGCGCTCCCGATCGCACTTGCCCATAGAAACCACTCTCATGGAACCAGACACGAAGAGCCCTTTCTATGGGGAGGGGGCCGAAGATGACATTTTCTACGTGAAAGATCAATATTTATCATGTCATGCAGCAACAGGGATGACATGGGCCGCACACGCCTAATGGCCACGTGAACACAGGTTACTCACCAACTGCGAAGGGCAAAAACAGCTCACTCTGTCATGCTCGTGTTTTCCTTTGCCATTTGCACCGGCCCCCTTTTGGGTGGCAAGGAGCCTTCCGAGCCTGTCCGCCGTAGGCCCATGCGCTGCTTCGTGTGCCGAAGAGAGGGCGCTGCGCACCTCGAGGAGCTGTCCGGGAGCCAAGGGGGGGAGCCAAGAGGTGAGGGCGGGATCAAGCGAGGGTAACATGGAGGTTGCGAGAGGAAACGTGGAAGAGGTTACTCCGCTACTCATGTCAATGATTTTCTTCTGGAACAGCTGCCTCATTGTGGCCAATATCCCCAAGAACAGAGTAGAAGCAAGCCGAAGGCATATTGATTGCACGTTTGTTTGGCCTCTGCTTTTGGTAGCAGCTGGCCGCATGGTGCTTGCTTTTTCATGGATGGGGCAGTGGATACGGCAGCTGGTGTTTAGCACGGAGCCACAGGCGAAAATCTAGACCGTTCACTAGGGCTCCAACGGCTGGGTTTCCATTGTGTTGAACTGCTCGACACAGAGTTCAAGGGTTTTGACGACACCAGTGGATCTTTGTTTGTTGCTGCCCAGTCCTGGCACAACTATTCAGAAGCAGAGTGCTCCGTGTGAGAAAATCCATACATGAGGGAATTCGGCAAGGTCCCTGAAATCATGACATCATGGTGCACTGTTACTAGCGCCTAGATAATGGCAAAGTAAGAACACTGAGACTGCCTAAATTATCAAAGCGCAAGACCCTGTTTACTAGTTAAACAGATGCGCTCCTGGAACGGCAGGAATGTATTTCAATAACCCAAAAAGGTTGAACATTTGAGGCTGTTACTGAACTCGTAGATGTTGATCTCGACCATTGCTGGACTGAAAACTGCTGCCGGCCTTAGGCCATCATGTGACTACAAAGTGTGGTCACGTCAAGCCTCTTTGCGTTGTTAACTTTCTCATGGTTTAAAGTTGTATTCCCTGATCGTGACCCCAGAAGGCCGTTTGTGATGCGCGCTACAGTATGCAACATGTTCAACATGTTATCCTTCTTGCGCCAGATAGACTACCATGACGAAGCTATCACGCTTGCAACAGATGGCATGATTGCTTACTGTAGTAGCCAGCTGCCAGATTTGAGAGCACCGGGTAGGTGCAACTAGCTTTTAACCCCGGTGACTTGTGCGCAAGCCCAGATCCCAATCTCGGACCATGCACCAACTCGGGAGCAATCGTTGAATTTCCAACGAAAATGCAACATTTTTTCTGGCCCATCCTGGTACTTTGAGCTTGGCTGATTTTGCTGCCGGTATGCACCTAAGATTTTAACTCTGGAAGCGTTCGTTTTTGTTTTGGGCTCACTGGCTTTAGGATGCTTCCCTGCTGGGAAGCAGCTGAATCACCGCTCAGCCTTCAAAGCAACACATCACCACCCCGAGCACCAGCGAGGCTTGGCGAGCGGGCGGCGATACCCACCACAGTGCATGGCCTCTCGCTGACTCCTCAGCTCTGTGGCGGATGTCGCGGGGTTGTGCGCGCTGTTAGTCCATGAGCTTCAGCGCAGGAAGCATCATACATGTGTCATAAACATATGCGTTGTTGCATGTTCGTCAATATGATAAATTCGCATAAATATGCACACACAAACACACATGAAATTAATTCACATAAACAGCAAGTCAGAACATCACATAATACAACAATACACACAACAACATGTGACACAGCATTTTGTGACACAAACGCCACGCTGTATTACACAACGCACCGCAGCACACACACACACACATACACCCAACATACATATCGAAACAACAGACAGGTAGCGGAGCGTGCCAGAACACAACATGACAACATGACATATCCAAGAATATCATGTAGCCACATCACATTATGATATCAGAACATACAGACACACACACACACACAACATAATATGCCAGAACATGTCACAGCATGCATTATAGCAGAGCATTCTATGTGGCATCAGAACACACAACATAGCACATACCATACTAAACGCACACACACACACAACAGCGTTTCATGACATGACTCAATGATGCAACACATGGCGACGAGCCACAACATATCATAGTATAGGGTGCGCGAGAGAACATGACATGGCAGCAAGCACGCATGTGTTTGCACGCAAGTTGACATATACCATGGTGGCACGGGTAGGATTATTATTGAGATGCCCGTTCAATTGAGCAGCAATGTCGGCCTCGTAGTGGTCAGGATTGGCTTTGGCTTTTGCTTGGGACCCAAGACGCAGCGGAGCTGGGATAGTGCTTACGGTCTAAATGGAGACGCCACAGGGGATTTGACAGGTCCTGGCGATTGTGGCAGCCAGTGTTGTGTGTGGTAGACGTGCCGAGTGCTGTGTCATTTTTTGCCGCAACTGTGCGTGTTTTTGTGGGCACAAGCTCGGACCCAAACTAGCAAGGGTTAAGCATGTGAAGTCACCTGTAAGTCAAACAACGGGTGCCGAGAATCCTTGCCCCTGAAGCCAATGAATGTTGGTCGGCTCGGTTTGCAAGAGATGCGCCTCAACTCAGCTACTTCATGTGTTTTGGGCAGACTCTGTCAAATCGAGGGTCATGTCAGCCGCCAGACGCAAGCCATTTACCCAGACACCCTGAGGACATGGCTAAAGGAGTACTCCTTCGTGGTAGAACTTTGCACCTCGGTATCAAAACGAGACTCCATATGCCTGAGCTTGGTGCGAAGATTTGACATGAGTGACTCTACACCGCCGCATGGACGTTTATGACTGTGTCGGGGAGGAGACGGAGCGTGATTGCTGATCCACTATTTTCGCAATTGCCAGGGATGTTTGTGGATCATGTTCTCATCAAGGAATAACCCTGAGATGGCAATGGACTAGGCACAATGAACATGCAGAGTTGGCTATTAATACAATATATACAATATATACTCCACAAAGGATTCGGACACTGAATGCATCAATTCGCATGTGCTACATTACAGTGAGCCGAACACTGCCACTTGCATTCTTTCAATGCAGAAAACATCCAACTGAGACGGGCCCGGCCGTGAACAGCTTGGAGTGGGCTATCCTTTTGGCTTTCCTGTGAGCTAGCATTAGGCCAAGGCACAGCTTTGGCTGCCTCTGAGTGTCAAAGGCGGCTTGGTCCATGGAGCAGCACCAATATGGAAGTAGATAGTGCGGGTCTCTGACGTAATGACTTTGCGAAACCAAGTGTTAGGTGATTGTATTTTGCACGCTCTGATGTCCTTTGCCAAGGTGGCGCCCTGTGTCAGCTGGAGCGCATCTCGTTGAAGGACTCATTAGTTGGGTTGTCGGAGTCTCCAACGACAGAGAGAAGCTGCCATACATACCCTTGCGCAGGAGTCAGATATTGTTGCAGGCCGTGGTTGAAGAAGCGCGTAGCACTGTGGACGGTGTTCACTTTGAAGCGTGGTTTTGGCAGACTATGACTGCCTGCGCAATCTGTTTTTTGCATTGAGCCGCTTCACTAGACCATATTAGCCAGCCCGTCCAATACGACAGCAGTTTCCAGGCTGCGGTGACGTGCCAGTAACGAATTCAATCAAGCATCCCAGAAGTTGTTCGCCGAGCAAACATGACACGATGCAAGCCAGAACCGAATCTGCAATTTCAACAGGTACCGGCATGCACATGATGTAAATGTTTTTTGGTTTGTTTGTTTTTTCCTATTGGAAACTGGTTGAATTGAAACTTGAAATTGCCATTCGATTTGCACACGTCTGCACTGGGGGTCTGGGATTGCCAAAGCAGGGTCCCTCATATCAGTGAGAAATGAGCCGGGCTGCGAGCTTCTTGAGACTGTGATCACTCAAACCGAGGGTCAGTGAGTTCATGCACAGGCTGGTTGTGAAGGCTGCGAACTTGCAGTTGGGAAGCGAGCTCTGCCACCCCACCACTTGCTACTGGTTTCTGCGTGAATGCAGGCCTTGCCCAAGCTGAATGTTTTCACCAACATGCAGCGCATCAAGCTAGCCTGTTATCTAGATCAAGCTCAGTTTTGATGATGTTGATGGGGCGGGGAGGTGTCAGATGTGTCACTCCAAAAACAGGGCCGTCTGGCGCAACTGCGCAGGAGTGGCAAGCCCTGCTGGAGGAACAGCACAATGGCAAGCCGCGGCTTTGACGCACTTCATACTGTACTATTTCAGGGCTGGACCGCATGGGAATTATTTAAGAGCGCGCCTCAGCGGCAAATCGTTTCAGATTGTCTGTGTGCGTGCGCGTGCGGGCGGGCGTGCGCACTGCGGGAAGTCCTCAAGTGGTTGAAATGCAATGTTCGGTTGATTATACGTTGAGAAGCACGCCTGTTCACGAGCAGATACACGTGTGCGTGCCTGCTCTTGCCATCAGAGGCAGACCAGTTTATGTGCAGCGCTAGTGGCGCGTGCGAATTCAGGCAATGTCATGAAGGGACAGACTTGACCAGGCCTTGCGCCTGTTGAAGACCGCGCTTGCATTCCTGCCTAGCAGGCCGATCGCATGAGTCGTTTTCCCTGGAAATGGTTAGGTTGAAGCTCGCAGAAACTGCCCAGCGTTGCAGGCGCCGAATGCTTGCGCGCCTTGATCCACGAGCCGTGGATCTTGTTGTGCACTGTCAAAACCCTGAGATTCCGAGCAGCGACACTGAGTTCCCCCTGGGATCAGGAGCACTTTGTATTCGGCCACGATTGCATTGTCGCGCCACGTACAGGGCTTCCAATCCTGAAGTCGGCCAGTTTAGTATACCAGTAGAGCCGGCAGAGCTGGTTGTCGGAAGTTTCTTACTCTATTTCTCTTTCTCTTTCTCTTTTTGTTCTCTTTCTTTTTCGCGTTCTCGTCTCTTTCATTTTTCACTTTCTCTTTCTGTGTGTGTGTGTGTGTGTGTGTTTCTCTTCTTTCTCTTTGACTTTGATTTCTGTTTCTCTTTGTCTGTATCTTTCTCTGTTTCTGTCTATCGATGTATCTTTTCTATGTACCTAGCTATCTTTTCATTTACCTACCTGCCCACCTACCTACAAAGGGTAGACTTTAGTCCATCGGCTTGTCTAAAGTCGCATCGATCGCGTGGCCAGTGGGGACCTGGCAGGCACCCGGCCCAACAGTGTGCGTTGGAGTGGGGTCCCGCCGAAGCAGCGTGGCTGGCGGGTAAACGCACAGCAAGACATCAACTGCATGCTTTATGCTTGCTGCGCGGCGCACACTGTGGAGGGGCGCGGCAAATGTGGTTCAAAACTTGATGACTAGAAAGCCGATGTGGCCAGTGGGGAAGCACATGAAAAGTCACCAATTGCTCGCTGGATGTCAGCTGAAAAACTACCTGACGTAGGCGTGGGACGCAGACGGCTAGTTTTGCGGCAGGGCGCGGCGTGCACTGGGGAAGCGCGTGGCCAGCGTGATTTGAGTTCCCGCGGCTGGCTTCGGAGCTCGAAACTTGATGACCAGAAAAACCGGCGTGGCCAGTGGGCAAGCACATGAAAAGTCATGTTGCTGCCATGGGAATCGTGACGCGTGAAGTGACTTGACTTCACGCGCGCTGATGTGAATTCGCGCCTGCGTGCGTGGCCATGCAGCGATGTGACTTTACAAGCGTTGATGCGACTTGACGCGACCGTCTGTACCTATCTATCTCTCCATCTCTCTATCTCTCTATCTCTCCATGTCTGTATCTCTATCTCTCCATGTCTCTATCTCTCTATCTCTCTATCTCTCCATCTCTCTATCTCTATCTCTCTATCTCTCTCTCTCTCTCTCTCCATCTCTCTACCTCTCTCTACCTCTCTCTACCTTTCTCTTCTGTGTGTCTGTCTGTTTGTCCGTCTGTCTGTTCGTTTGTCTGTGCAAGGGAAACACGTCTGCCTTCAAAGGACAGCTAGCCTTCACTTAGCGCCAGTACTACGGAACTTTCTTCTAAACTTCCTTGGGTGACAGTATATGGTATTTTAGAGGTTGCGGGCTTTCGTGTTCAGTTTTAGCACAAGGGGTGAAATTCAATTTATTTTTCGCTTGTTTACATGTGCCAAAATATTTGGCATGTGGTCCCCACTTGTCGGGATGTTCAAACTTTGCGCGCTGGCATATTTGCGCGTGTGATGTTCACAGCAGGGACGCATACCTATACATTTGGTTTGAGGTGCAACCCATGTCAGCTTGGACATAATATGTTTGATGTCAGTGCCTTGTGTGTGAGCAGCCAGCGATGTGCAACATCGATACTTGAAGTTGCAAGTTGCGGCTCGATTTGTCAATGAATATATATATATATATATATATGGAGGGTTCCACATTCATGAAGAGTAAGGAGTTTGCAGCGTCAGGAGTAGCTTCCGAAGACAAACATGCCAACAAAGACCAAAGCAAATCCAACAGGCGGATCCAACATTTAGTTTTTAGGGCTTAGGGTATTAGGCTTAGGATTGAGGGGTGAACCACGTTGAGCAAAGATGTATCTCAAGCATCAGTGGGAGTTGAAACGTAATTTCAGGAGTGCAGAACAGGGTAAGCGTTTTGCAATCGTCACTGCTTCAATTTAGGACCCCAATTGATTCACCAAATGCAGTTGGTCGGTTTTCTTCCTGATTGGGTGATTGGGTCTTGGGACAGCGTTCAAGAACTATGTATTTTAGGTTGTGCCACTGTCTGTGGTATGTGTGTGTGCCCGTGTTTATGTGATTTGTGTGTGTGTGTCACTTGGATATTGCTGATGAAGCATCTTCTTGGCCAGTCCATGTCGCAGCCCCGACATGTCTGCCTTTTCGTGAGGTGGGAGGTTGGAAGGTGCGGTGTGTGGTGTGCGTGCTTTCCTATTCGTTGATCCATTGGTTTGGCTTGGTTTGGTTTGGCTGGTTGAACAGAAACTGCGCCACCATGTTGCCTCTCCTGTCACACTCAGCACTTTGTCCGTTGTTCCTTGGCAGGAGTAGGCTCAATAGACCACCTGGCCTATGACGAGGAGTCTGTTGTTCTTGGGATCCCTGATCTCACTTCATCCAGACTGCTCATCTCAGGAAATGCAAGTACGTCACCTTCGGCCTTTTCGACAAGAAGACGCCTTCCATGTGGCACTTTTGCGAAGACTTCGAGGCTGGGCAGTGCAAACAAGACGCAGCCACGGGCCTTCACACGGAGAGTGAGGCAATCAGAGTTTCCTGCATGCGATTTGTACTCGAGCTCCGAGTAAAAGATGATGCTTGGTTGACGCGTGCACAAGCAGTCATCTGAGAATGCCCATGGCGGCTCACCTCATGAGCGCGCCGCAGCATCCACAGGTGCCAAAGGTCGGGGACGCTGAAGTGCAGGCGGGTCGTTGCTGTTTCTTGTGCGGCCTCCACTGCAGCACGGCCGCAGACACTTCCTTTCCCTTTGGAGAGACGCTGGCTGTTGCGTGAAGATGGACACCGACAGCCAGGAACAAGGCTGCCATTCCCAGTGAACGCAGGATCCACCTGAGATAACTTGGTAGGATCTCTTGGCGCTATTATTGAACTCCTTCGATTTTTTGAGGTTTGGTCAAAAACCTGTGGATTGCCTCGTGTTTGGCAGTGTTGGACTTATGTTGGGATCGGCCAGTTTGCCTGCTCTTGCAGGAAGCAAAGTTTAAACTTTTGTCCCAGCCTCCCATTAAATATCAGCAGCACAGGATTCTTCCAGCCTCGCGAAGAGGCAAACCAAGCCTATTGCCAAGCAACTATTGGCTCCTGTGGTGCATTCATCAGCAGCCTTGGTCTTCACTCTTTCGTCTGGACCGGGTGCCACCATCGACCTGATGATAGGGATAGCAGCAGTGTTTTGCAAGATTCCAGCAGCCGGAAAAGGAGTATATATCCCACCATGTCCAGTGTGTGAGTGACACAAGCAGAGGCATGCCCCACTTTGTGCACTGCCTCTCACAGTCCTCTCAACACGCTGGTGCATTTTGGTGAGCAATCAGCAACTCCTTGTAGCTTTCTAAAAGTAGAAAAGGCGTGCGGAGATGAAGCGCCCTGAAGTTCAAACAGTTTCCCCGCAGTACAAACCCCCCGATTTCCGATGCCACAAGCCCCATGGCCACAAGCGGAGAGGTGAAGTCAGGGCCAGGCGGCAAACCTCCCGAACGGCAGGAGCTCGGGGTCGGAGAGACACAAGTTGACCCGCTGAATGCTCATTGCCCAACGGGTAGGTGTACAAATAGATTTAATACATAACATGTACACATATATATATATATATATGTCTAGCAAAAATATATATATATATATATATATATCTAGCATATATATATATATATATTTGTCTAACATATATATATATATATACATATTTATATACATAATATGCACATTTTTTTTGTATGCATATGCATTGTAACCGAATATTGGCTCGGACTGACAGGGTGTTTGACGGGGACGATTTTGACGGAATCACAGCTTGAAGTGGGTGAAGTTGGTTGGGTACAAGGGGAGGCAGCAGGATTGTTCGGCTTGATTCTTGTGTTGTTTGGCATTTTTAGATGTTTTTTTGATGTTGTGTGTGTGGGGTGGCGCAGCATGGGGTGCGCGTGCACGCGTGCGTGTGCTTTTGCGAGCTTGTTTTTTCCTTGTGCTTGCGCCTTGTCTCCTGATCAACACAGCTTCTCATTGGCCTTGCCATCACATGCTTCAAGTCCTTAAACTGGCCTTCAACACGTCTCTGATCGATGTCTTCTTTCAGTCTTTGACTTGGTTGCCCTTGCTTGTGCGAGGACAAGCCCATGAACGTACAAGACTACTAATTCACGGAGAAGGCTGGGTCAAAGGTGTTCCTGTCCGGGTGTACGAGCGGTTGTTTTGCAAGAGCTAGAGCTGAGCTAGGTGCATGGGAGCTTTTCCCGTGTGAGGGGTTTTCTTGTATTTGTCTTGGTGTTTGAGTTCCTGCCAGCGCCAGTTGTGCCCCGAACAGGCGGAGAGGACCCTCTCGTTGTTTCTCAAGCCACCGGAAATTTCAAGCTAAGAAGATGCCTTGGAGACACTGCACGACACATGTTTCGCCCGCGCTCGTCCTAGATGAGTCCAGCTGCCAGGTGTGCTGAGCACTGCTCAGCATTCCCGAATGAGCTGTCATCGCACTCACACATCCCAAATAAAAGTGACCCTCATTGGAAAGGAGTGATCATCCATCCCGGCAAGTAGTTGTAAATGCCACAGGCAGACCCCGTTTTCAATAGACTTGGTTCTGTTTGTGAGGTCTTGTTTTTATACCCACAAGCAACCTCTGGAAATACTAATGCAGAGACCAGCCAACAGAACAGTCACGGCAGACGCAGAGCCAACAGTGGTGTTGCATGGCGAATCGCCAAGCGATTTGCGAGTTTCACCCTGCCGTGCAGCGTGGTGGCTCAAAGTCTCACCGACAAGTCGAAGGCGCAAAAGGGGTGCCGCTCAGCCACTCAGACACATACCTCTGCCGTCCAGTCAAGTCGCTGCCCTGCAGCTTTGGATGTCCCCTGCTACCCATTAACATGGAACCCAGGAGGTCCCTTTGAGGTACCAGCAGGGAATATCAAGACTTGCTCTCTGCTAAATTCGACTCACTTTTCCCATGGTCGGCGTGAGGCTTTTTGAGTTTGATGCTCACACAGGTGGTTCAAGATGCAGACAATGAAGGATGCACTTGCAAGCGCGCTGTTTTGATGCCACGTTCGGTTGCGTGATGGGGACAGTTGGAAAACGGCTAATGTCCCCTTGCCAAACACCAAGAGCTTCGCCACCAGAGCCCTTCCAGCTATTCGTGGGTCACAGAACAGCGTGAACTGGGCTCATTCGATGTATGCCCGATTTTGATGGCCGATTCCACATGCTTCAGCATGGTTGGGTTTTCCCGAGTTGCCCTCGGATATGGGCCATGGGCCGTGGCGGCTCCAGCCTTGTGAGCTGGCGGGGGAGCTTGGTTCGGGCATGTCGGGCAATTTTTCGCGCTCTCACCACTGATCAGGTTCAGCTTGGTCTCACTAAATGGCGCGCGCGCACACACACACACACACACACGCGCACGCGCACGCCCACGTGCACGCCCACGTGCTCGCACCCGCTCCCGCACCCACAACCTTGGTCGAGTCTGCGGCTTGCGTAGCATGTACGCTTTCCACCTGGACGTGGGGCAAAACCAGTGGTGCAGATACGAAAAGCGAGAGCCAAGCGCAAAGATGACACAGCCGCACAAGAGCGCCAGGGCCGCTTGACCAGAAAAGGTAGATTTTGAATCAGAACCAAAGCATGAAGAGACTTGTCTTGCAAAAAAGCTTTATTAGGTTGTTCCACTAGATGCTCCTGGGGCCTACTGAGGGGTGTGTTAGCCAGCCATTGCCTTGCTCTTGTGTCAGGGCATAATTGCACTGCTATTGGTTGCCAGCAACGTGGATTTTCAGGAAACCGGCGACAGAAAGCACACCTTCGGCCTTGAGCACTTTTCTTCAGCATCATGTCAATGGGATGATTTCCAGCTATCGGGCCTTTCTTTCTGCTCGGGTTCCAGCACTCCAAATTATGAGGAGGGCTAGATGAGGGGGTGGTTCAAGCCAGGCGTGCCTCCGTCGCAGAGGATTGGCGGCGCTTGCAATTTGCACCCGACACAGTGCAAGGCAAATGTGGGTGATGGGAGGAGTGAGGGGTTTAATCTTTTAAAGATTTGTCTTGATGAGGCAAGACAAAAGTGTTCCCCGACATCCTGCAGGCATTCCACAAGCTTGCCAAGTCAAGGCCAAAGCCGCGACAAACTGTTCATCCATTCTTGGATGCAATTGAGATTGTCCGTCATGGGAAGTACCTTCACGAATAGCGCGAGCTTGATTGCCAATGGAATGAAGTCCATTCATATTACTCGTGAGCACTACGCGTCGACGCAGTTCTGCTGTTCTGCAGACACATTCTGCTGGGCGTTGATAGTTGCAGCTCCGGTGCGCAACCGTGCGCCTTTGCAAGATAGCAAGTAGATTCCAGTCTCATCTGCAATGGTGGATTACCCCCCATGCCGCATGCAAGGAGTTTGAGTCACGCAATTCACATTTGCCGAAGCCAGAGCTCCAAGGGCGTGCATGAAACGCTTTGTGATGTGACCTTTTGAGCGCCGTCAAAGCCTCCTCTTGGACTGGCACGCTTGCATACCCTGCAAACGCCCAGAATAAGTGATCCGCATGATGCACCTAGGAGCAGTCTGGGGGTTTTGCGCTCCATGCGAGAATCCCTTATTAGAGTTGTCCGCTGTGAAAGCATTGCATGTGCCAAGCAGAAGCGCCAGGGGACCGCCGCACCTGTGCCTTGGCGGTCAAGCAGGATGGCGAGGCAGGACAAGTCTACGCAGGAGTTGTTCTTTGCATGTGTTGAGATTCCGTTGCCGTGGTTGCTTTTTGGCCCTTTTCCTCTTTGTGGCTGGATCTGGCAAGGATGCACCAGTCTGGGCCATGAGCTGGGCTGCAGACAGGTTTCTTCATGCTTGCTGGATTCATGAATTGTCCACTTTGGTGCCCCCAGAAAGCAATTCCACTTTGCTAAGCACGTCGCTTGGCCTGCGACAGACATATTAACAGCACACGCACACACTCAGATGCAACCTTACCAACATGCTGCATTTCTGGCGGGCCTAGAAAACATGGATGCTGAGGCCGAGGGCCCTTAGTGATGCACTGTATGCTCGAAGGACCAAAGGCCAATGAAGCTTCCGCACACATGCAGATCCATCCCAGATTCAGCGCATGTTCACTCCTGTCCATTGGTTCGTTGCTCCAAATTGTTGCTCTTTGGTTCAATAGGATCTCCATGCAGCCCAGAGATCAGGCACTGGAGTTTGTGTCGGAGGCGCTGCAGGCGGGAGACCCCGCCTCTGGGTATAAAGATCTCAATCGGCAACCATTTCTGCAAGCAATTGACGGCTTGCGTGGGAAGCATGCGTTTGCACTCAAGAAGATACATGTGTTGATCAACCCTCCAGCGAACAAACAACTATGAAGAGAAGTTCTATGCAGGAAACCATGGGTCTTCTAGAGACAAACTCAATGATGATGGCTCAAATGGGAAAGATCCCCAACCACTGTTGGCTGGCTGTGGGTTTGAGGATTCTTGCATATTTCATGAACATGCTTGACATTCCCTCAAAATCCAAGACAATTGTTTGTGCAACCACAGCAGATATCATTACACGTGTAGTCACTCTTCACCTGGCCATGATCAGTTTCTCTACTTGGGTGTGGCTCAAAATTTCAACAGGAGGGGTTACGCAGGTTTTGGTCCATGTTTCCACTTTCCAGGGTTCCATTTTGGTTCCGGTTTTTGAGCCACAGCCAGTTAGAAATGAAAGACCCCCTGGCGGAACTCGTCTGAGCCTCCGACCGCAGCGCCACGGACCCGCCGCGAAGCCTCGAGGCGGACCACGGCCTGGTGCTGAGCGCCGTGCAGCAGAACGGCCGAGCCTTGCGCTTTGCGAAGGCCCGCAGATGTCACATCACATGGAAGTGCATCGAATCGAAGCGCATCTAACGGATGCAGAGTTGAGGAACTGATTTGTTGTTTATTGCCTGCAAACATGTATAGCTTGATAATCTGAAGTTTACTTGGGGCGGGGTGGTGGTCATGGGGAATAGATGCATAGATATGAACGTGGACACAATTTGGTTGCAGAGACGGCACAGAGGATTTGCTGTGGCAGTTGCCTGACATTGAAATCGCTGCCTTTACCTAACGGTGAAGCCTCCAAGGATTCCAGAATTGATTTATCCGGGAGTGAATATTGTTACAGCCCTTTCACCTTGCAGAATGTCGAGTTGTCGAGAATGACGTAGTTTTGGAGTTTGAATTTATTGGAACCTTTCGCTTCAGCAGTGAGGCGGCAGGGAACGCGAGTGTACTCAGAGTGACAGACCTTTTTTGTGGCTGATGTCATGTTGAAGTTTTGCGCACGCAGCTGGCACAATGCATGCAGCTATGAACGGCCACCAACAAGAGAGTTGAAGAGAGAGGGCACAGAGAGAGAGTGAAGCGAGTTTGAAGAGATTGAAGAGATTGAAGAGAATTGTTTCCTGCATTGCCAGAGATTGAACAGAGTTGCTCCAACAAGTCTTGAGCAGGAGGGATTTGCAAATGGTATATTTGAGGGCTCCTGAGTGGGTATCTCAGATTTTTACATTCAGGATAGGCTTATGGGCTGCGTGCCTAGAAGGGAGGGTGTCCAGACAGAGCTTTCGTGGCTTGCAACGCCTGCGCTTCCGAAAGCCAGTGGCTCAATGGAACGAATGCATAGACACGTCTTGCGATCTGGGCATACGATGTGACATGTTGAAGCCAGTGCCCATACCCAGCGCGTCAGATGCCTGCCCATCCATCGCATTTGGACTCTGCCACAATGTCTAATGTATGTTCTAATTCTTCAGAGATGCCTTTCGCTGGAGTCACAGATCCGGCAACTCGCTGGAGTCTTCGACTCGAACGCTGTGCCGTCTTGATGGCGGCGTGAGGAACCGTTGCTCCGTCCGGCAGCCCAAAGTCAGGCTTGTCGGGTTTGTTGCTGGTACTAGGCCAAAAGCAAGAAGCAACGCAGTCGGTGTCAACATGCACCAATATTGGCATTAAGAAGAAAAACAACAATAGAATAACATGTGGCAGTACGGGTGAGCCAGAAATTACAACAGCGACAAAAGAGAAAGCTTGAAAAGCTTTCCTGAGGTGCAGTTACATGCTCAATTTTCTTTTTGTGCTGCTATTGGGCTAGATTGCATGTTCAGACAAATACTGGAGTACTGGATCAAAGTCAGAGCAGATGGGGGTCATACATTATGCGTTCTGTGGTACCAGTTTCTATTTGCAAGCCCGATTCAACCGAGCAGATACTCCATTTTAGGAGGGTACACCTGTGGGCATTCAATTTTTGGTCTGTGTGGGCGTGCAACTTGGTGCAGGTTTGTAGGGCGATTACCACTCTGTGTCGCGCTGAATCAGGACCACAAACTGGGTGATGCGTGATGCACATTCCGGAAAGCTTCAAGCAACGGTGACTGCGCGCGGCAGTTTGGCACAGATGTTCAGAGCTGAATGACAGGTGATGTCATCCCGCTGGAAGGATTCCAAACCGCAGCAGTTGGGATGGCCTGCTAGTTCTACTTGCTTTCTACCTTTGAGTGATGCCTCGTGCCCAAGGAGTGATGGCCCGGCTGGCTCCGGTGTGCCCAACACTCAGGAGGGTCTTCAGATGTCTTCAGCTGCTACCGTGCACAGATTCAAAACGCCCTTCTTGAGGGATCCAAGCATTCCTTCCTGCTTGGGCCACAAACAAAGCACCTGGTTGCTGCTGCTGCCGCTACTACTACTACTACTACTACTACTGCTACTACTACTACTACTACAACAACAACAGCAACAATTACTACTACTACTACTACTACTACTACTACTACTACTACTACTACTACTACTTCTACTACTTCTACTACGTCTAGTTCTTCCTCGAGCCAAACTCCCCGACGACAAAACGATACCACGCCGATCATCACAGCAATGACTTCATGATGTTGTTTTTCAAACAAAGCGCTATGATTCTATGCAGCCTTTTTGGAAAGGATGATATGTGTTTGCAACATGTCAGCGCTTGTGCTGGCTGATTGCAGCATTGACCACGATGAAAGGCAGCCAGCAACAAATGATCAAGTGGGCAAGAATCAAGACCACACTGACAAACGTTGGTTTGAACTTTGAACAACATATGCGCACAATTGTACAGAGTTGGTGGGTTTCAGGGCAACACTAAAATCGTGACACTCATAACAAAAGAACTGTTTAGTGTGTCAGGCGACAAACTTCAGGATTGAGACGAGAAGGAGTCAGACATCGCTACGCAATTGTATGTATTGTATTTCCTTTGTCCTACTGCGGGGACCACCTAAAATGACCTGACCAAAGAGCAAAGTGTACAGTACTCTTTGTTCGGCTGGGGCACATGTTGCCCGAGTTTCTTTCGATGGGGAGAGTGGGTCCAGATTTGGTCTGTCAGAGGCGCGGCCAACAAGTGATTGACAAAGCTGGGACAGTCCAAGCTTGGCTGAACTGAATGTTGGGGCGCTGCCAAGGCATGTGTTTGCTTGGCAGCTCACTGTGTCAAAAGTATTCTGCTGAAAGTCCTGGTGATGGTCCAACACTTGCCCAGACTGTGCAACGCTTGTTGACTGCACGACACGTAATTTGGAGGATACCCCCAACACGCCCTTCAGTCTGCTTCGATTGCAACCCCTGCTGTGTCGTCTCTGCGTGATACAACTGCAAATGCTTCCTGATCAGAAATCGCTCTTTTTCTTATTTGCCCCGTAACACATTGAATGTTGCAGTGGAAGGCTGTGGAAGACATGCCACGGGAACCCGCCCCCCTCACAGCTTCCAGCTCTCAGCACTCGGAGCTTTGGAGGTCGTGGTAGCTTCCTGCTGGGCTCCCGGGAAGGGTGAAGTGCTGATACCTGCCACCCACTAGCTGGCCGAATCCGAAGAGGAACACTGAGACCTCCCGTGCTCCTCCTTCGGCGTTAGGGGGGAGGGGTTGGAAGGATGTCCTACTTGGGCGCGCATACTCACTGGGGCTTAGACAGCGGACATGCCTCGAGAGACATGCAGGAGTACGTGTTGTGCATGCGATTGTATGTATAGTAGTATATGCTTATGTTGCCTTGACTTGCACCATTTAATTAGATTATCCGGGTTCAGGTGTTGTTTCAGAAAGCACGTGCTGCCGCAGCTGGAAGCAAGCACTGTCAGTATGCATGCGAGCATTCCATGGGCGCTAAGAAAAAGTCATCATCGCATGCAAATGGTACACGATTGGACATATCTCAGGTTGACGTACCGCTACCATTATTTGTCGGTTTGTTGTACTTTTAGAACTCAGAGGCCAGACATGGGATGTGTGGTTTGGAATCGAGAATCGATTGTCACACTCGTCCCTTACTAAACAAGGGCTCAGCATTGTTCTTGGTTGGATGTGTGAACGGAGACCACCTGATACGAATCGGCTTGGCAAGGTTACGTAGGTCATGCATATTGCTCGGTGAGGTGGTCTTTCAGGGCTCAGGTTGTCCCGCAAAGTACCCCATTGTGCATATCTGCATCCCAGGGCCCAGCCATTCCGCCAAGCACCGCGCCCAGATTTGTGTTTGTTGTTTGGCGAGCAGGCACAAGTTGTAAAGGGAGAGTTGCTTCGGTTCCGGTCCATGTTGTTGCTTTATTTGGGCTGCATCGGTTTCTTTCTCCAGACGTGTAGATGCCGGCAGCTCAGATGAGTACGCAAATGCTCCAAGACGTGCAGCAAATGTTGTGCACATATGTTTCCATTTGTGCAGGCCACACCTGCCATTGACCAGCTCTTCTGCTTGGAGCAGCTTTAAATTGCTTTCCTTTCAGCGGCATTCCTTGTGAAGCCCCGCTTGTGTTTGAGTACACACGTGATTTCAGAGACGCTGATCCGGGGCAGGTCCTCTGAAACGGATGGCCTGGAGCAGGGAAATGCCGCCATGCCTAGGCGCAGGTCTTCACTCCGCAACTAAGGCCAGGCAAAGTGAAGGGAAGCAACGCGGGCAATTCAGCAGTGACTGATGTCGCTTGCACTTGTTTCAGATTGTCCCACGTATTCTTGCTCTTTCTAAAGCAGTGCTGCTCTTGGTCACTGGAGAAGACAATAAAGAAAGCAGCTGTAAAGTGCCATGCGCAGAATAGCCAGCTGCCTCATTTTGGATCCTTGCCAGGCGAAGCTGCGATTTGGCTCGCGCCCCGGTGAAAGGCTGACAGCCCGCCTGCGGTGGTCTGTGTTGCTGGGGGCAACGACAGCTGCATATATATATATATGCCGTTGGCGTACAATGCACAATGGATTTAGGTTGCAGTTGGATAAAGATAGATAGCGCTGGTGCCAGTTTCGTTCTAATCATGTACCGGTGCCAATTATTTGTCCACTGGACACTTGGACCTAGAGATGTTTTTTGGCTTTAACGTCAGAGATAATTGAGTCAGGATCGGCTTCAGAGCACTTCCTTGCCTGGCTAGTCTGTACAGCACTTCAGGCGCCTGAGAAGGTCGGTTCAGGCACCTGGCTAGATAGGTTTGAGGATTGATTTCCTAGGCGCTTTGGGTTGGATGCTAACGTTTGAGTTACATGGTGCAGGAAGGTTTGGGCTGCAATATTTGGCTTGGAATGTTTGGGTGATCGGGTTACGGAAGCAACACATCAGCCTGTTGACTCAACACCTGCCCCCTGAGCCCTTCTTCTTGTGATCGGCGCCGCAGTCCTTGTGACTTAGGCAATAGCATGGAACAACTGCATTCATTTGTTCTCTGGCGTTTAAAGCAAACTAGACATCCAAGCTGGCACAGATACCCACTCACCACAAACAACAAAAACAAACATTGGACTCGGATGCCCGATCAGAATTCGGTGGAGCCGGGATGTGGGATGATCAGAATATGCTTTCCCACCCGCGCATTGAGAGAGGTCAATAGAAAAGATCTGAAGCCAAGCTGGGGCTGAGACTTGGGCTTTCTCGAGCAGGCTTCGGTCCTTTTCGGTCCTTGTCTAATAGGCTCCTTCCTTTCCAGGCCAAAAGGGTCGCTCAATTCGACCATATTCGACCATTGACGAGTAAGGGCTTCAAACACCAAAAAGCAAGCGTGCGTTCTTAGAATTTCCGCTGTTTTTTTGTTGTTCAGTCTGCTGTGTATTGGTGTAGTTCTGTTTAGAATTGGTTTAGTATTGCTTCCGGCTGGGATTTCTGGCGCCCGGGGGAAGCATGTTCGCGGACGGTCGCGGAGCAATCGGAGAACTTTTCTATATCGCCATGTACCAATCACTATTCCAAATTGAAGCCAATTGGCAAGTCAAGATTTGACCTTGGCTCGCCCAGGTGAAGCCTGCAAATTGGCGTGTGAAGCGGAGTCGACGGCCAAGCAGGTTCAGGCCGGTCGGAGAAGTGGGCAGCTTGCCAGATTTGCCCAGCATATTTATGAAGAAGGCTTTGTGTGCATGCCTTTAGCTCTTGAGTCACCTGATCAGCCAGGTGCAACACTTGGGTGGGTCTTAAAGGCACTTCGGCCCTTCCTACACACATAGCTTCGACCATGTCTCAGGACAACGTGACGCATTGCAGCACAGCACTTGTGGGACACGCGTGATTCATGATTGAAAGATATTGAAAGTGACAAGTTTACATTGACTATGTTTACGCATGAAGCTGGCTGCGCTTGAATTTCCATCACTGACTATTAACCAGGACTATCATGTACGATTCAGTCACAGTCGAGACCTGCATAGAGTTTACTGGAACCAATGAAAGGTGCTGCAATCAAGGACATGGGTGTCGTGCCATGTTCATTAGACAAGCAACTCATACACTGGCTCTTGCCCCGCCAGACTGGCACTGGCAGCGTGGGGTGCCACAGAGTGGAGAGGCAAAGGTACCTGCTTTCAGTCGATAGATGCCACGGCGGTCCATGTTCAATTCGCAAGTACTAAGGCACAGGCCTAGTGCCCCATTCCACTAGGCTGTGAGGCGTCACACATCAATGTATGAAGTACCGCAACCAGAAACACACGCTGGCAAATGTTTCAAATGTGTTGCGAGATTCGCCATGAACATGCCCATTCAAGTTTGCATAACATCCACTTGGTGGACCCCCGAGTTTGAGACACAGCCATATCCCCTTGCTATTCAGGCCTTGGTCCAGGCAAGCTTCCATCCAGCACAAGAACTTTGAAGGGAACGCTTTTCGTCACAACGATTCTCAGAAGTCGGAAGGTCGTGTTTTGAGGTCAGTGGAATTTCCACCAATGGTTGTTAGCTGGGGAGTTCCAATGGACCCAGCTCAGCTCAGTCATGAACTTTGGGTAGCTGGAGGACTTTGCCTTGGGCGAAAATAGAGGAAAGAGGGCTACGCTTTTCAGCCCTTCCATTTAAGACAAACGAAGGGTGAACCGGTTCTGAGCCGCAGCCCTCTTAGCTCAGCCAGCCCTCGGGCTGGAGAGCCGCGAGCCGGATGTTCCTCTTCTCCAAGCAGCCGAAGCTCGGAGCGTCCAATTTCCAAAGGGCAAAGGTGGAGAGGCATTTTGCGCTCGAAAATCATCATGCGTTACATCGCGGCCTGTTGATTCAATACCCTCTTTCAACTGGAAGTAGACAGGAGTTGCCGAAATCGTGGAGATCCGCAATTCGCACAGAACGACCAGGACAATATCTTGTTGCCTCGTTGCAGTCACATCGACCAAACACATGTATATACATGTATATATGTATATACATGTATTGATGATTTTTGAAAGTGGTATGGCTTTCAGGGTGTAGTCTGTTGTTTGGACAGCACATGTGCCCCTGAACTTATTTGGCATGCACTGATTCAACAAGCTGGGCTTGCTGAACTTGGGTGTGGCGTGAAATACTTCGTGTATAGATCATTATATGTAGGTATATGATATACACTCGCTTGTTCAAAACCCAGTCCCCAACGATTAATTAGTGGATTGCGCATTGTGCCGTTCACTGATTACTTTATGCGTCTTGCGGATTGTGGATCACGGGTTGCGCAGATTTTCCATGCTCCAACATACGGCTTTGACCCAAGTTTGCAGCGCGCATTATGCATAGGAAGATTGACAGCCAAAACAATGATGAAGCTGATTACTGATTGCGATTAGGCCCCCGGGATTTTGCCGAATTCACTGGTTTTTCCTGTGAATTTAGCCTTTTTTGCGGAAAAGGGCAGTTCCACTGGTAGTTACTCTGGACGTTTCATGCTCTGGCAAACCCTCAAAACCAAAAACAAATCGAAAAACCAGACTCCCCAAGGGAAAGGTAACTGGCTGACATTCTCCTACAGGAGTATATGTTTTTTGTTATGTTTTCCTTTTTTTCTCTTTTTTTTTCTTTTTTTTCTTCTCGTTTTTTGTCTTCTTCTTTTTTTCCACTCCGTTCTATTCTTTCTTATTTTCTCGTTTTTTTTCCTGCTTGTCTGATCTAGCAAGCCTTCTGGTCTCAAGCTCAATCTGTCTGACTTCCTTTTTGCTTTATTCTATTATTTAATTCACTGGTTTAAAAACTTTAATCATTACGGCTTGGGAATCTAGGAAATCTTGCAGTGGATCTAGGATTACATGATACATATTATGTTGTAGCACATGTTCATTGTGTTCTTGCTTTAGGAGCTAAAATTGCTATCTTTTCTAGAATCAGATTCAATGAAGAACATATTGTTGGTATTTGTTGGTACTAAGAGTTGATTACGTTCATCCCTAGTCACTCTCTCTCTCTCTCTCTCTCTCGCTCTGTCTCTTTGTCATTGCAATTTAATATTCATGGCTATTATTCTTGGCTTTTCTCCAATGCGTCTCTTAGGATTTCATGTTATGCCAAGAAGAATCCCATCCTTTACAGATTCGGTTCATTCCCCCACAGACCAAAAAGGTGGGTTTTGGGAGGGGGCGGGTAGCATGTATTTATATATGGAAGCAAAGGCCTATGCGGCATTGCTTGAGTGTAGGTGGTATACGCGAGTCCCAGTGTTCAAGTAGGTGTTTTGCTGATTCCTTGTCAGCTCCGATGAAGCTGAGTTCTTCACTCACGCAGATGGCTGCCAATGTGGTTGAGATAGGCTCGGGAGAAGACACCCCAATGGTCCAGCAGAAGATAGCCGAGCCATGTCATCTCGGGTGTGAAGAGCTCGAGGCCTACCTACTGTTGATCGTGGCTTGTTATCCCGAGCCTGTGATTTTATCTCCTGCCTGAATTATTGAAATTGTACGCTGTATGTATGTATACATTTGAACCAACACATGCACACTGATCACGTGCGGGATGGGTTAAGTTACCGACGGTATGAGCAATAGGCCCAGTGCCATTCAGCCTGGCGTTTGGATCTGGATGTTTTGGTTGCATGCCTTTGCACCGCCGCACAACTGCTGGACATACTATGGAAAATAATGTTGCGACAGTCGGGACGGATGCAGCTGAATACTGGAATAAACCACCTACCAACTGGTTCAGGATTTGTTCAATGCACAGTATGCAACCACCAGAGGGCATCGCGAACCTAGATCAAGACATCTCCAGACCAACTTTCCCACCTCCCCAAGAGGGTTGCTGGTGCCGTGCGCCATCCCTCGCTGCGATGAGACATGGCCGTCGCAGTCGTTCGCCTAAGGAGACAAAAGACTTCCGATCTAGCATTGATCCAGCGACGGGAGGCCGCTTGCCTGACACATGCCGCGCTTGGCCCTTCTGATCCTGAGCTGTCCTCCTTTTGCAATGCCTTCATGGCTGTCTTTGGGGTCGTTGCCAATACTTTCCTTGCGGGGAGTGAGCATTGAAGATGCTTTGCTTTTTGCGGGTTGCAGCAGGGGCTGTAGCAGCTGTGTCTTAAAGAATTCTCCCAATGCTTTGTTCTAGAAAGCTCTTGATTGGCGCAATTGCAACGACTGAACCAAGCATGAAGGCTCGTGACGTGGGAATCTGATCGTCCTTGCTTAGAGGATAGGAGACAAACCCACCAATGAGGGAGTGACTCTGGCATCATCAGATTGGTGCACAGGGACCCTTCCTCTGTCTGGTTTTGCTATGATGGAAGCACGTCAACCTATCTGGAGTTTTCCATTATTTGACCGTTGCCCACATTAGGCCTCGCAGTGCATGCCTTGCTTCAGACGTGCAAGCGGAGCCAAGCAAGCCGCTCTTGATTCTGGAGGGTTTACAGCTGTCCGTGCCTGTTGTGCATGGCCTTGAGCCCAGGCTCATGTACCCAAGCCGGCATCGGAGCATGGGACCGAAGTTGTTAGCCGCAACTGGGAAGCGTGTCTTGGCATCACTATGGGGGAGACGTGAAAAACAAGCAAAGTTGTGCATTTGACGGCAAATCACTGACAAAGTTGAGCATTGTTCTGAAAGCGAGATGAATCACAGAGCACCCTCGGCAACACGGTCCTCTTTGTTTTCACGATCATTTGCAAATCAAAACAACCCTTGCAATACCGTGCCACTTGAAGTAGCCTGCATGTCCAACTCTTGTAATGGGCGCTTCTGGCCCTCTTCTGTTAACATACTCGTTGACTAATGTGTCTCTTTCGACTTGCTTCGCAACTTGCTGAATACGCTTTTCTTTGACATGTTGGGCCGGTGTGAACTTTCCAGGCACAGACATAGTCCAGCGATGTCCAGGGTGCACGTTAGCATGTTGGCCTGTGCCGTAGAACAGGCACATTTGCTGTTCGGCATTGGGTGGTTGTTGATGTTTTGGAGTGGGTAGAACAGGTTGAGCAGCACCACTGTCATGAAATGAAGGTGTGAAACCTCGCAAGTTGAGTGAGCAAGGCAACAGCATGAGCAGGCTGGCCATTGCCGCACAGACATCTTGCCTTCACAAAAGAGCAAAGCATAACATCGGTGCAGCACAAGAGGATTGTGCAGTGCGTAAAATGTGAGTGTGTGTGTGTGTGGCCGAAGCATGTTGATTTTCTTCACATCAGATAAGTAGTGCATGGACCCAGCCAGTGCTTGACGCAAATCAAAGTCAGTGCGTTCATCCATGGAGGGTGAGGACACAGCCGGGGAGTACTCAACACGAGGACCACATTCACCTAGCACTGTTTGCAAATTGTTCAATCAGTGCCTTGCTTGACTTAGGCTGGCAGCAATTTTCTGCTCAAAGATTATGCTGCTGCTGATCTTCGTGCCTGTCGGCTTTTTCGCAGGTCTGGAAGGGTGGATGAGATTGGCAAATTGGTCATTTGACAGACAACTGTGGTTTGTTTGTTTGTTTGTTTGTTTGTTTGTTTGTTTGTAGGATAGCTCTTAGAATATCTCGCGTGCAAATTGGGCCATTCCGCAGGCCAAGATGAATTGCAAAATGTAAAAATGTGTGTGTGACCATTCCGTTTACCCGCATTGTATGATGAGCCTCAATATTTGACTATTTTTACTCACATGACACTCTCGGACAATTTTGTTGGCTGTTTTATCTCTACTATTGATTCAAACGAATTACCTAATATAGGAACAATTAACAAAGACACAATAAACAACGAAACATACACCACTCGTGTTTGCCCTTTGGCTCAATTGATGACTCCAGATGAGGACGCAAGAAATCAACACTCGTGTTTGTCAGATGTTTCTGGGGGAGGTTTGGTGACAGTGGCCAAGCAAACATATTGACAGACATGCTAAGCTGCTTGCCCCCAGAAGAGGCTGAAATCGTATCAATGTCTGCAAAGAGGCAATTTGCCCCTCGTGAGTTTGCATTCAACTCTACATTTCAGAATCCTGTGTCAGATTCAGCAGCTTCGCTTCAATGGAGGGAAGCCTTCAGGCAATGTATCCTATGCTTGATTGAGCAGCAGCCGATATGCTAAGTTTGTGGACACTGGGCCAAGCGGGGAGCTTG